AGATATGATATGTAAATAGTTTTTTGAGTTTATATTGTAACTTAGGATATGTGAGTTTATCTTAAGAAATAAAGATTATTATTATAATATTATTATTATTATTAAATGTCCAGTGCAAGAAACTAAAATCAACAATAATTTGCGTGACATATCGCCCAGACGACTGTCCTCTGAGTTCCTTCGAAGAAGTACTTAAACACGGAGTGAGCCTATAAAAGGTCAGCGGTTTGCACTTTGTTGGCTTCCTTCCCACCGATAATGGTGGCTTTCTGCAACAGTCACTATCGTTATAAATCTTTTGCTAAATCTCTTGCTGTCTGCTTTCAAGAAATGATACATTAAATTATTTATTTACCACATATCAGAGTATCCAAGTAAAATTATAATTTCTTTTTCTGCAGGATTCCAGCCGTGAAGATAACAACAGGGGCAAGCAAAGTGGAAGTGGAGGCACCCGGAAACGCCGGCGCTGTCCTATAATTTACTGTAAGTCTAAAGTTGTTCACATGCCTAGGCACCTGCAAGACGTCCATGGGTGGTCGCGAATACATGCAAAGACAGCACTAGTTCATTATGGCATGAGAAAGACTTATTCTTTTTCACATCCAAAGAAAGCTTCGAAGAAGGAACAGCAAACAGAAAAGGAGGCTAGTAAAAGCAAAGGATCAAAAGACTATCATTACTATCGTTACTGCCCCTTACAAGGATGTACAGCATTAGTAAAACGGCTACCTCCACATCTGCGTAAGGTTCATAAATTGTCTCCTGATGAAGTGAAAAAGGCCCTTTCCAAGGTAGCGGGAAAGCGTGTTCGGTACTCCCATCGTGTACCTATTCATCAGAGAAGGCTCCAATGTCGTAACAAATTTCAAGATGAATCAAATCGACTTTCAGTGTCTGAACATTGCAGCCAAACAGTACCTTGTATAGTCCTTCCAGACAGCGATGAAGAAAACAATGAGAATGAAGACACATTGGAAACTGTCAGTGGAAATGTCCATGCACATGAGGTGTTAAAGGACTTTAAGGCATGGCTTCAGTCAGCAGATGGAGGGCAGCTGGACGCGAAGAAAACTGAGCAGCACTACAAGCAAATGTTGAAGCTTTTAACCATCATCGATGAAAAGATGGAGGTGTCCTCATTATATGACGATCAGCTAATAAATAAGAAGTTTCTGGAAGGCTACGCCAAAAAGCAATACCATCCCAAAACAACACAATCTTATCTGATGAGCTTGCGCCACTTTTATTCCTTTTCCCTGACCACTGACTTGGGCGAAAGCACAACAAAGGAGAAGGTAATAGCGCTGAGGGAAAAGGTTGCAAGATGGTCTACTTCATTTTGTCTGAGCGGCGCGAAACGACATTGGGAGAAGATGAAGGAGGATTTGCATGCACTCATTTCACCGAGGCAGATAAAAGAGTTCGAAAGAAGTAAGGCCGCCAGAGATGCAATCTGTCTATTAGGAAAATTGTCAGGTGCGCACAACATAGACATATTACAGGGTCAGTACACTTTGCTTAGAGACTTTTTGATTGTCAAATTTTCAATCGACAACACAAACAGATCTGGAGCTTTCGCCAACATGAAAATGGGAGAGTTCAAAAAAATGAAAACAGAGGGAGATGACAGTGTGATCCTTGTAAAAGACCATAAGACATTGTAAAGCCATGGACACGCCCGAATTGTTTTGAGCCAGAAACTATGTCGGTGGTTACAAATCTTTGTCCCAGAAGTTCGCTCCCGTGTTTCAGGTGCTACAAATGACAATAATTATCTGGTATTTCTGTCTTGGAATGGGGAAAGTCTGGCCTCAAGCCAAATAAGCAAGGCGATGAAATCCGTTTGGAAAAAAGTGGACATTGGTGGTACCATACATACAACCATACTGCGAAAGTCAGCAGTGTCAGGAGTACACTGCGCAACCAATAGTAGTGAGACCCACAGTGATTTAGCTGATTTAATGGCTCATGATGTGGCTACTGCTAGGCATTATTACAAGCTAAACGAGAAGTCGAAATCTTCCGTTAAGGCCTCAAGACAACTGACACAAATGTGTCATGCGTGGAGAGAAACAATAGAAGGAAAGTGATCCTGAAGGAATCTCAGTTGTCCCGTCTCCAGAGGAGTGCTAGTCAAAAACGTCAAAGTTCTCATGATCTCCCGCAAAAGAAAATTTGGTTCGAGCCGTTTTTCAAGAAGAAATTGCCCAACAATCTGTCTCCTTAGAGATTGTCAGGTCAAAAATATCTGGTCATCCAGAGCTCCCGAATGAGAGTCCTAAACGGGTGTTGGACAAAGTTCGTTCACAGTGGCGGTACGAACAAGAGACTGCAACAGAGCCTTTAGATCTCCCCTCTGAACAAGAGACACTGGAGCAGCGAGTCCAGAGAACCCTGGAGGACCAAGCCGACACCAGTGACATTATTCCTCCAACTGTGACAAGCAGCGTGAAAAATGTATTTACTTCAACTGAACTGGAAAAAGTAAGTAACACTTTCAAGGAAATGATTGTGACATCTGCCCAAATCTCAAAACCACGTATTCAAGAGACTCTTGAGAAAGAAAGCTGGGGGAGGGATATGTTAGAGAAGGTCTCAGTGGACACTATAGTGAATCGAATTAAATATGAAAGACGTGTTCACAGGAGTCTTGAGAAGATCTAGGTCTAGCTGAGGATACTTGTAAATGTCCCTCACAGGGCTTTTAACACTGCAGACTTTGTTTTTTTTTTGTGAAGTTTCATGCAATTTCATGCAACAGGGCTAAAGATGCTATTGGCCGATTAACCATTTTTACAGTTTTTAACTCCCTTTAAAGTGCGGTTTACATGGAACGAGCTTGTCGCATGCGACAAGCTTACGACAGGCCTACAACACGCCGCCTAAGTTGTTTCATGATATGCGAACTTCCGGTGTTCGCCATAGTTTCCGGTTTGTATAAACTGTCAATCAAATAAACATGGTTTAGCTTTTCTCAAAATGGCGTGTTCACTGTGAAACACAAACATGGTGTCAGAGTAAAAAAGCGCAAGAAAAAATGTAATTTGTGATAATCGGTATTGACATAAATTAATATTTTGCCGACACGGGACAGAGAACTGGGTGCGAGTGTCGTACGCGAAGGCTTATGGGTAGTATGTTTGTAAAAAGAGACCGTTGAGAAACTTGTGGCATTCTACGGTCAGCCTTGCCACTAGCACTTTCCCATAAGGTTTATTTCTTGTCTTCATCACTTTTCCTTGCCTAGTTATGGACGAAGCAGGCGTCAGGAAAGTAATCGCTGAAAACAACAGAGATCTTATCGTTCAGATCAAATATCTGGTGATGCTGTTGAAGACGCCCAGATTGCCCTCGAAAGGAACGACGTCGAGAAGATCAAACAAGCCTTGGATAAAGGTATGGAGCTGCTTCAAGAGCGTCAAAAATTAATTTTACTGGCTGATAAATCACAGTACGGGTGGAAGACGGTCCTCGAATACAAGCACCATGATCTCGCAGACGACGAAGAAGACGAGAAAAAGATATACAGGGCCAAATCCAGAGCAGCTGGGTCCACGAAGCATTTCACATCTCGCTCGACTCGGCAAAGAAGTAATGTTACATCGACTTCAACAACTCCGCAGCTCTCCGCCTCACAGCTGCCCAATTTGTTTTCGCGTGTAAACCCACAGCTTTCGTCTCAGAGATCGTCTTGTGGTTTGTGCTTTGCTTGTGGCAAACCCGGGCATTGGAGGGCTTTCTGCCCTAATTTGCGGTTTGATGTTCCTTCTAATACCGGTCGGAATCCCAAATGACTCATTTCGGACGTCGATTCGGAACAAGACCTTGTTCATGAGGATAGCGATGAATTAAT